ACCATGCAGGAATCATCAAGGAACGTCCATCCTAAACAACATTGTCATCATTTCCATTCCTGCCACTGTTGTCACTTGCCTATTGGGGACGCACCTACAGCTTTCAACTCATGTTCCTGTCCTATGTCCTCCCTTCTCCTCTCTCAAATCCTCTTACTTTCACATGCCTGTCTTTGGAGGTATGCATGGAGCTGCTAACACTAAGGTCAGAGGTCAGAACCCTTCAGTGGCTCCATGGGAGAAAGATGGGCCTGTCTGCTCCTTGGAAACCCAACAGTCTCTATGAATAAGAATAGACTCACTGAGGGCGAGTTTGGGTTTGGGTTGGTTTTGTCTATTCTTGACTGAGTTTCCCAGGCTGTGCTCGCCATCTGTCCTCTGATAGGTACAGTTAATTATCTTCTATACCCCCATGGGCCCTTCAGTTCTTCCGGGGGACATTTTTCAGCCCTCCTCATTTCATTCCGCATTGGATCATCTTCAGTTGAGGCTGGTGGAACTCTTACAAAGTTCTACTTCTGTTTCATAGAGCTTGGCTCTTCCTGAAGCCTGAGGATTGTAAACAGTTCTAAAGGTCTCTTCTGGTTCCTTAGGAACAAATGCTGTTGGGCTGCTCTTTTCTCTGGCGGATTGCTCAGGATACTATTTCTTTTCCCATTTGGAGCAGGTTTTTAAAATTTCCTTCTCAGTGACTCACATGGTTGTGGTCTTATTATTGCCCTTGCTTTGTGGAGGGAGGAGAGCTTCCTAAACGTAGTTCATAGGTCACTCTGGCTCTGCTCTGGTATTATTACTATGATGGGTAGAGTCTCTGCGCAGATGGAATACAGGGAACTCTACATCGCCAATGCAAAGAAGGCTCCTCTTATTTCATCCTTAGTTACGTCAATGCTCCATTTCCAACTCAGCCTACTTTACCAATTACTGTAGAATCGATTCTGACTTATGCTGACCCATGTGCATCAGAACAGAGGTTTCCAATGGCTCTGACCTTTCAAACGTAGGTCACCAGGCTTGCTTCCAAGTTGCTTTGGGGTGAACTCAGACCTCCAGTCTTTTGGTCAGCAGCCCGGTGTGCTAATTGTTTGCACCACCCAGGGGCTCCTCAACTATTGGACATTGTCATTTTCTTAACAGTCATTTCCTCAAAATAACTCTGCTGATGTTGAGTAATGATTTGGACTCACGGTGACCCCATGTGACACAGTGGACCTCCCCAGAGGGTTCCTTAGGCTGAGCTCATTCCAGGAACAGGTCAGCAGGTCTTTTCTTTCATAGACTGGCTGATGAATGGAAGCCATTGGCCTTTCAGTGCACAGCTTAGTGTTTAACTGTTGCAGCACCAGGCCTCCTTCAGAATCACTCTAGAAGAAGAGTTACCTCTAGAAAATGAGATAACTCTAGAAGACTAACCCTAGACAGCTACCTCTGGAACACTAGGTAACTCTGGAACAGGGCTCAGCAAACTTTTGAGATGAAAGAGCCAATCCTGTCCCTCACAATAATTTAAAAATTATTCAAGAGTCATAAATACATTTTTATTAGCAGATGAAAACACCATTATCAGAATAATAGTTTCATTGCATTTTCCATTTTACTTCAGAGCCACATGTACGTACCGAAAGAGCCACATGTGGCTCTCAAGCCACAGTTTGCTGACCCCACTCTAGAAGATTAACTCTAGAAAACGGAAATAACTTTAGGAGAATACCGCTTGGACTTTAGAAACGCTCCAGTCATCAGGGAAGTGGGAGGGAGGGAGAAGGGATGCGGTTGCTTGACAAGGCAGCAGAGATGGAACAGACGACCCGAGCTTCTCACCGAATGTGATCTCGCAGAACTTAGGGTCTGAAAACAAGCAGCAGTCATAGGGAGACAAGGTTCTTAGCTTAGAGACTCTAGAACTGCCAAGCGTGCTCAGATCCCACCCCAGCACATCTGCTTCAGCAGGAGCTGCAACCAATCCCAGAGTCTAGAAATATGTCGACCGCTCACCCCAGTGCCCAGCTTCAAAGGGAGCTTCCACACATATGTTGAGCCTTGCTTTCCTGGTTAGAATGTAAGAAAAACTCCTAGGGAGCTTCAAAGTTTTCATGAAAAATTTCACGACCGTTTAATACAATATTTCCACTCGTTTTTTGAGCCGCTCCATATGTAAGCCCTTCGCACTGGTGTTGAAGTTGTTAGGTGCCATTGAGCCGGTTCCAACCCAGGGTTGGGGCATGCACAACAGAACAGACACTGCCTGCCCTGGGCCACCCTCACAACTGTGATGGGGAGGTCCCGGTCGTGGCCCCTGAAGAGCGTCAAAAGTACACTAAAAACATGGTCTGAAGATAAGGTCCCCACCCGTCCACTGACGGCCAGTTGATCCTGACTCATCGTGGTCATCTAGGCCAGAGAAGAATGACCCCGATGGGAGGACCTGGTGGGTCTGACGTGCTGAGAGGGCAGTTAGCAGTGCAGCATTGAACTCTGTGCCGCCAAGGCGCCTGAGGCTACACCCCACAGTGTAGCACACCTGTCCAGGAACTGTGTGCGCACGTGCAGGGTGGATCCTCGGACCTTCCAGGGAAGGTGTGACGCTGAGTGGTGTCAGCACAACAGGAAGAAACAAGCAGGGCCCGAGTCAGGATCAGTATGTAACAGCAGTAGCAAGCATACGTACCACATGCCACGTACCACGGTGAATGTTCCTTTGTCCTGTAAACTCTTACGGCGTAAACTCCCCCTGATAAATGGTGTTACTGAGCCCATAATACTGCTTCACTGTTGGCGAATGAGCCCCAGAATGTGGCCCCAGTAAACATTGGCCTTAGGATACATTGTCACTGCCCGTTCTCAACTGATTTGAGTACATTTAGAACCCAGATCACACGGAACAGGAAATCCATTCCTGGCCGGCAACAGAACGGTTTGCCGTGTTGTAATTGTAAACAGCATCAAGAGCGGCCTTAGCACCTCTCCTCCTGCACTGCACTACCTTAGGGGAAGGCAGTGTGTGTGTGGGGGGGGTTGTCACTGAGCAGGGGCGGTCTGAACACAGGTGGTTCAGCCTGAAGACAGGAGAGAATTCCACGCACTGCCGCCCATCGGAAGGTCACAGGAGGAAGAGGGTAGCACTATGTCGTCGTGTGTGCCGTTTTAGAGGCCACCAGTTGGCGTCAACTCTTAGCAGCCCTATGTGCACTAGAAGGAAACACGGCCCGGTGGTCTGCTCTTGACAGCGGCAGAAAGCCTCTCTCTCTCCTGTGGAGTGGCTGGTGGCTTCCAACTGCTGACCCGGAGGTTAACAGCCCAATGTGAAACCACTATGCCACCATTCAAAACGCACAGTGATCACAGCCGTCCTGAGGACGGGCAGGCCCAGGCAGTGCTGGATGGGATGCCAGGAGTCAGAGCTGCCCGGAAGTCCTCCCCGCTCTCCCACCATCAACCACAGGAAGGACAGCAGAACCCAGGCTGTGGGGATGATCGGAGCACTGGTTCTTGCGTTGGTGAAACACCTGGTGGAAGCTCACCGTGGAGGGTGAGGGTGGATTCCGCTGGGTCCTACTTTTGAGACCTGAGAGCCATCTGGTCACGTGAAGCGAGGGCTGGGAGAGTGCGTGCGCGCGCGTGCGTGTGTGTGCGTGCGTGTGCGTGCGTGCGCGCGCGTGCATGCTCGGGACCCAGGTCCAGAGTGGGAAGCAAGTGGGGCCATCCTGGCTGGAGGCAAGGGCAGGGGTCCCCTTGCCTGTGGCATGTTCAAGGCCACTGGAGCTCTATTCTGAACCAGCAAGCAGCCGGCAGCAGCACCACAGTGTGGGCAGGACCCCTGAGCCTGAGGGGGATAGGGGCAGCCTCTAAGCTCCGCCAGCGAGTTGCTGAGCAGAGCCAGGTCTGATTACTTAGAGCAGGGGTTCTCACCCTTCCTGCTGCTGCGACCTTTTAATACAGTTCCTCATGTTGTGGTGACCCCGCCATAAAATGATTTTCATGACTACAGTGAACCCTCGTTTATCGCGGTTAATCGGTTCTAGACCCTACCGTGATAAATGAAATTCCGCGAAGTAGGATTCCTTATTTGTAAATCAAATATTTTCGTAGTTAGAGTATAGAGGACATGAAAAAACACCCTTTTGTCACCATTACACTCGTATTACCCAATTTAGTAAACGAAAAATGGAAAATACAGTAAAACATTTTGGACGTTACAATTATCATTTATTATTTATTATATTATTTATGGCATCAAGCGTGTACAGTATGAGCCAATCAGTGGCAGTAATGACAGAGCATGCACTGTTATGCAAAAACCGCGATAGAGTGAAGCCGCGGAAGTCGAAGCGCGAAGTGGCGAGGGTTCACTGTATTTCATAACTGTAATTTTGCTACTGATATGAATTGGGTGACCTCTGTGAAAGGGTCGTTCGACCCCCAAAGGGGTCACGACCCACAGGTTGAGACTGCTGACTTAGAAGCTGTCTCTCAGCAGGACTCCTGGTGGAAAGGGGGAGCTCAGACAAGAACAATGAGGGTGCGCACAGGCTGCCGGCTCCCTTCACAGACAGACAGGCAGATGAGCCAGTGGTAGGGTGACCACAGATCTCCTCCAGGCTGTCTGTCTGTCATCGATCAATGGCCCTCCAGTACTTCCTCACCCGTGGGCGTCCTGGGACTTCAGAGAGGCCAAGCTAAACACCACTGTGCCCAGACCATCAGGATTCCGTGCCCACACAGACTCCTACCGGCCCGTTTGTGGCTGTCTGCATGGGTATCCATGCTTGCTTCCTGCCCTGCCTGGCCACCCACCACCACCTCACGTCCTCTCTGGAGTGCCATCAGCTCTGGGCAGTGGCCATGGTGGCATAGGTTGGCATAAGGGCTGCGTGGCCTCCTAAGCCAGCTGGGAGAAGTCCCCACACACTCAGGGACGTGCCCAGCCCGCGGGGTGGTGGGTGCCCAGGCACCATTAGCGGGCTGTCAGGCACTGCGGGACGCGTGTCCGGCTCACTTACTTTTGATCGGGATGATGAGCTGCGGGATGACGGGGAGGATCTTGTTGCCCCCATGCTCCAGCATGTCATGGATTCCTTGACGAGCAAAAAACTCGTAGGGAAATGTCATTTCACAAAGCCCGTCAAAAAACAGAGGCAAGTAGTGATGGTAATCCAGCTTCTCGATTTCCACCTGCGGACAGAGGAGAGAGGGCGCGTGAGGACTGGCTGGCAGGGTCGGTGCAAAGCTTGCTGCCCAGAGGAGGAGAAAGAGGAGGAGGGTGGGGGGGAGGAGGAGGAGCGCGTGTTCCTTTGGACTGCAGGGCCACGCGACTCACCAACTCCCAGCTAGCCTGTGGTGACACGCTGGGCTGCTGACCACCAAATCAGCCATTCACAGCCACCAGCTGCTCCCCCGGGAGAAAGCCGGGGCTTTCTATTCCCATAAAGTGTGACAGTCTTGGAAACCCACTGGGGAGGTTCTACCCTGCTCTCTAGCGTCACCCTGGTTAGCATCAACTTGATGGCAGTCAGTTTTTGTTGGTCATTGTTTCCTGACGACTGGGGAAAGCCATACTGGTTGTCCTCTATTCTCAGGGAGGTCACGGCCACCAGCCACGTGGGCAACAATCCACGTTTAAGTGCATTTGGCGTTTTCATTCTTTTGTGCGGATAATTTATTTTTGGTAAATCATCGATAATGAAAGAGATTTGAGAAAGGATAAAATGAATAACATAATAAGAACTATAATAATACATTCTAAGAATGAAACGGGGGCGTGGCAGTGGGAGGGGGGTTCAGTTCAAAATAGACGAGCACCTGAACTTGTAACAGAAAAGAATCTCATATGGACCCTCCTGAGGAACGCATCCTGAGACTCCCCTTCCATGGGGTTGTTTCTGACTTGTTCACTAACGATGCAGCCAGTTGGGGGCAGGCATGATCCCCTGAAGTTCCCGGAGTCTGGACACAGCATGGGGGACCCTGAGGGGCTGGCAGGCTGTCCCTCTCCCATCCCACTCTATTGCACTGGCGTGTGTGCTTTCCGTCCCATAAGAGACCAATATCCCTACGACTAGTCGGCCGGGATATCTCGTGCTTTCTCCTGTCTCCCCATCCTTCCTTCCGCTACCATTCTAGCAGCGCATCCTCTGAGCAGCTGGACGTTTTCCTCTGTGTCCCCACCATCTGGCAATATGGCTTCCAATACTGATCACCGACATCATCTTGGTAAAGGGAAAGGGCATCAAACAAGAGGACGGCCCTCAACGAGATGGAATGACACAGTGGCTTCCACAAGGGACTGGCTCAACCACTGCAACGATTGTGAGGCTGGGCAGGACCAGGGAGTGTTTCCTCCCATTACCCATGAGTCGGCATCAGCTCGACGGCACCCAGCAACAACGCAGTGGCAGTGAGGCTGCGCTGAGTGTTTTGAAGAACACGGCTCTGAGTCCAAAGAAGCTTTGAAAAAGACTGGAAGGCAGGCAGGCCGTCAGGAAGGATGGCAAGAAGGGAGGGAGGAGAGAAGAAGAGAGGGAGGGAGGAGTGAGGGAAGAAAGATGAAGAAAAGGAGAGAGGAAGACACAAAGGAAGCAGGTAAAAGAAAGGGCACACAAGACCAGCGAGAAGACCATAAAAGGAGAAGTGCCGAGAGGCGGACAAGCGGAGGATGGGCGAGGGTCCTGCGCAAGCTGTAAGGGGTGATGGGTGCCTCTCTGAACCCTCCTAACGCGCTGACCACCAGCCCTTCTTTCCTGCTGAGACATCCCTTCTCAAGGGGTTGGTTTCTAACTTGTTCACAGATTAGGGGCACATCTGTATCTCTGCAGATCTGCTGCCCCAACAATGGAATGACATCTCGGCTTGTTTGGGGGATGGTGCATGGGTGAGAACTGGAGTTACAGAGACAAACGTCAAATGATGGTCAGACTTTGGTCTAGATTTCGCAAAGGTGGCGTATGAAACCTGAGACGGAGTCACAGGGATGCATACGTATGGACTTTGGTTAGAGGAAGTGCTGACACAGTCATGCACCTGGGGAGGGAGGTTCTTGTCCACCCTGGGTGGGATCCGCAGCAAGATTGGAAAAGCCAGTATTTCTCATCGATGTGGACCATGTAGTTCAAAACATAAACTAAAAAATAAATGAGGCCCCAGACATCTTTAAACTCTAGGCATTGTTCTTTCTAGTTGCTGTAGGAAGATTTGGGTTGGTCACTTTCCCCCTGATTTTCTGTCTTCAGGGCTCCTTCTTGCTGTGGTTCAACGGTGGTCACCTTTTGGATGAAGTTGACCAGGGTCTCAAACTCCTAGGGGCATCAGGAAGCACTTTCCTTGGTCCCCCCACCCCCAGCCCTGCCACCACCATCTCCTCTCTATTTTACCATTCTATCCGGCTTTTCTGTCACCTATTGTATTTCACTTGTTTTCTGAAAACTCCCTTCCAGCCCCAGCTCCGTTTTCCCGTTGCGTTTCACGGGAAAGTAGTCTGAAAGAATTCTCCGCAGTCGCCGTCCACACTTGCTCACGTCCCTCTCGCTCTCCAAGCCACGTCTAATGGGTGTTTATCCCCAGGGTTTCCCTGCAGCTGCTTCTAGCTCAGGCTTCGGAGGCTGATACATTGTCAGATCCAGGAGTCCCTTTGCTGTTCCCGTCACTGGCACAAGGGGGACCTTGTGAAGGTGGGCCGACACCACCCCTGTGGTTGGCCCTCCTAGTCGTCCTCAACCTGCTGTTGTTATTGTTGTCAGGTTTCAATGAGTCAGCGCTGACTAACAGGGACCCCAGTACAATAGAAGGAAACCCTGTCTGGTCCTGCGCCGTCCTCCCAATGGCCCCTATGCCTGAGCCTCCTTATGCACCCACTGTGGCAATCCATCTCCTTGAGGGGCTCCCTCTTCTTGGAAGCCCCTCCACTGTACCAAACACGATGTCCTGCTGCAGACACTGGTCTGTCCTGACAACATGTCCAAAGTAGGGGAGACTGAGTCTGGCCGCCCCGACCTCTGAGGAGCCCTCGGTCTTACTTCTTTCACCACCTCCCTGACACTCTGTTGTCCTTTGGTGGCTGGCGTGTTGCTGGGATGCGGAAAGCGATGGCACTGGTATTGCAAAAGCCAGCAGGGTCACCCAGAGTGAACAGTTTTGAGCGGAGCTTCTGCAGTGTGAACAGACACCAAAGAAGGACTTCAGTGCCTCACTTCAGCAGAAAAAGCTGCTGAAAACCTTTGGCACAGCTTTCAAGCATCCTTAACCTGCTTCCTGCGAACCCTCGGTTGAATCCATCAGAACATCTATTGGATCCAAGTCCATCTACTTTCCACCCTTTTGCTCACTACTGACTGAGTTGACACCACCAACTTGCCTTGTCTGGGGGACAGGAGCCTCCTAATCGCCTCCCTATTTCCATTCTCATGCACGTAGGGACCCTCCCCTGCTATTGCTCCTAGAGGTCCTCTGAGGGGTCCCTAACAGGTGCTCTGTGCTCTTCACAGCACACCCTCTCTGCTGGGTTCTCAGTTCAGTGCCACCAGTACGTGCGTGTTCCTCACACCACACCCAGCCCACTCCTCCTAGAGAGTTCCGGACCGCACTGTGCCCTCCCTTCACAGCCTGCCCCTGGCAACTTCTCTCCTTCAAGACTTCAGTGAAGGGAGGCCATTCTATCACTGCCCATCCCTTGTGGATTTCCTCTGTGGCCGCTCCTGTGTCTTCACTGACAGTCCTTTGTGTTCTGTTATAGCCTCGGAAACGATCTTTCCCACTGCCCTCAGGCGGATTACCACTCAACGGCACCCTTTATGGGTCTCCGAGGCTGTGAATCTATAGGAGCAGACCGCCTCACCCACTTTCGCCCACTCTGACTGCACCCACACAGCCCACTCATTGAGGCATTGGACGGAACACCCAATGGACATATATCCTCATGGATTAGGAACCCCCTCCTGGTAGAGCATTGTTAACTCAAAACTCACTGCCATAGAATTGATGCCGGCGCCTAGTTGGCCAGTGAGTTCTGACTGATGGCAACCCTGTAGGGGGTTTATGGAGAGCTGTCCACTATAGGGGTTGGCATATTGGCTGCAACAAAGGGCTCAAGCATGAGAACAATTGTGAGGATGGTACACAACTGAGCAGTGCCTCGTTCTGTGATGCACTGGGCCACTATGAACCAGACGGATTCAACAGCATCTAACAACAGCATAGGACAGAGTACGGTGGCGCCGTTGGGTTTCCAAGGTGGCAATCTCTACGGGGCCAGACTACCACATCTTTCTCCCACAGAAACTCAGTGCTTAACCACGTGGCCGCCCCCGTGCCCGGGCTCCTTGTTAGGCAGATCATAGGGGGGTGCTGAGTAAGCAGGAGTCAGATTTAATTCTGACTTCTGGCATCACTACGCTATGTTAACTTCTCTGACCGGTCCTACCCAGCTAAGAAACAATGACTCAATGACAAGGGGCTACGGACCATAGGGACAGGTGGCCATGGCAGTCAGCGGAATGAGCCTATAGAATGAAGGAGGGTATCAGTCAGTTCCTGTTAATTTGCCGATCCCACTACTTTGTAAATAAAATGTTGTTGTTGTATTTTGCCTTCTTGTTAAGATAGCGCCAGTGATGTACATTTCTGGAATGTTGTGAGAATTTTAGTAAAAATTCAGGATGGGCTTCTTAGTGGCTCTGTTTACCCTCATTTTACTGAAAATCACTTAAGATGAATTGACAGTTCTGATAACTTTTAAAGCTTTAGAAGGAAAGGCCTCTCTTTCTCAGAGAACCCTCACATGCAGTAATGATACCAGGAAGGTAAGGGAAAGGTGTGGGGAGAAAATGGGAACGGAGCACAATGATCAATATATAACTCCCTCGCAAGAGGACAGATAACAGAAAAGTGGGTCAAGGGAGACATCGGTCAGTGTAAGACATGAAAAAATAATAATAATTTATAAATTATTAAGGGTTCATGAGGGAGGGAGGGTGGAGGATGGAGGGGAAAAATGAGGAGCTGATACCAAGGGCTCAAGTAGAAAGAAAATGTTTTGAAAATTATGATGGCAACAAATGTACAAATATGCTTGACACAATGGCTGTATGGCTGGATGGTGATAAGAGTTGTATGTATGAACCCCCAATAAAATGATTTTTTAAAAATTCCTACAAATAATGTATTGGTAATAGTTCAAGTTT